CTACTGTGAATTGAACAGTCCTTGTTTCACAATTTACCTATCTGTTGGACTTATTCATTATGTTATCTTTATCACGTAGCAACCAGTCACGGCTCTTCCTCTCCTATTCCCTTTAGTTTCTTTTTCTCCTCCCCTCCTCTTCTTCAGAAAATACTTTTAAAAGATAACAATTATTAATAACTAATAATAATCCCGGCAAACAAATAGAAAAGCCTAATTCTCAGAAAACTACTACCTACCTATAACTTCATTCCTTTGTAAATAAGTTCTCTCTATGCTCTCTGCCTTCTGAATTTCAAGTACTAATAATAAGTATTAGTAATAATCCTTTGGATGGTGCCAGTAGTGGGACACTGGGCTGTGTGATGTGGAAGTACATCTTTGACATTTGGCAGGAAGGAATGGTGCCCAGCTGCTGCTCCTGGAGAAGTTACAAGGCAGGGCCAGTGGGGGGATACCTCTGGGGGAATTTTAAAAGATTTTATTTCTAAAAAGAAAAGAAATTCCTAAAAATTAGGGGATGACCCAAGCATTATGAAACTTGGTGAGTTAACAGTGGTAGATGTGTCCTCCAAGTGTGATCGTTTTCATCCTGACAACCCTAAAATGACGAAAAGAAGAACCCAGGGAGCCCCCCAATTGCCGCCAATGGGCCGGATATAGCTGCATTTTTTTTGTTGCTGCGGACCGAAAATGGTTATTCAGCTACCCACCCATTTTTGGGAGGTGCACAAAAATGGATCCAGGGGGTCTCTATACATTTTGGCCAGCAGAAACGGATCGAGTTTCAGCCGAAATGCACAAGCCTACTTTCCAGTGTTTTAAGTTCTTACAATTTGGTGTTGAAATATTTGCACATTGGAATGCCATATAAATGTCTGGTTAAACAGAACAACTCTTCTTCTGAGATCTATAGTGGATTTTTAGCGTCAATGCTGTGATATATATTTTTGGATTTATATGACTTTTTTTCAACTAAATTCTAGTTGGCTGGAAAAACAGACACCCCTCCATTAATACTGACCTTGTGGAACTGCCAGAAGTACAGGCAGTAACATGTGAGCAAATCTGCTGAAAGAATATGAAACCTACAAAAATATCAGAGGAATTAAACCAAAGTGTAATCTGAGTGTGTGTTGGGTATATTCATTTTTAGTGCCTACTCTACTATATTTGAATGGTACCATTGAATAAGGCCATCTTAGGCCATCATCATGGTAGATATTCCTTTTTAAGAACAAAAAAAATGTTTTAAAATTCATGTGTGGAATTCAATTGATCCGGTCCTCCTAGTCTCATTCTCCTGCCAATGAAATAGCTTCTCTTTACTCAAAGAATTGGGGATATCACTCCATATAGCCCTGACAAAATTCAGGAAATTGGGGTTTGAAGGAGCATGGAAAGATGTAGGTAGAAGGAATGTGATTCAAACTGCATTTGCAAAAACACTGGATTTCATCCAATGCATTAGGTAAAGGTAAAAAATTCCCCTTGATATTATGTCTAGTTGTGTCCGACTCTGGGGGTTGGTACTCATCTCCATTTCTAAGCCAAAGAGCTGGCATTGTCTATAGATGCCTCCAGGGTCATGTGGCCAGCATGACTGCATGGAGAGCTGTTACCTTCCCACAGAAACGGTACCTACTGATCTACTCAGATGTGCATGTTTTTGAACTGCTAGGTTGGTAGAAATTGGGGCTGACTGCAGGAGCTCACCCTGCTTCCTGGATTCAAACCGCTGACCTTTTGGTCAGCAAGTTCAGCAGCTCAGCGGTTTAACCCACTGCGCCACTGCGCCATCAGGGGCTTCAATGCACTGCATGTACATTAATAATATAAGCTTAACCAGCCAAATTATAGAACAGATCTTGGTCTATACTTAAGGCATCATGAATTTAAGTTTCCTTTTCCCTTTTTCTAATGTTTCTTACTTGTAACAAGGCTACGTATGCATGTTAACAAGACAACAAAAGTCAAAAACAGGATGCAAGACCTTGTATTCTATCAGTGAGGGGTAACTATTTGACAATGGCATCAGATACTATAAAATAAGATGAATAAATTTCCCAACAGTAACAAGTGTGGATCTTTAAAACTAATCATGTTATAGCTCTCACCAAATCAGCACATTATTGGACTGTATTAGCATTAAAAATGTAATCCTATGCACACTTTCCTAGGTGAAAGCACCACTGAACAATACAGTATAGCTTATTTCTGAAGATTAATTTTGAATGCCATGTTCAAGAGGCCTGTAGAAAAGTCAAATGATGCAAAGTGACATTTGAGTGTGACATATTAATTGTGAAGATAGGGCACTCATGATTCATATCAACCATAAAAATCCAAGAAATGCTTTCAAAACCAGCTGCTTTTATCAAAAATGAGCAAAAACCGCCAGAGGAATATAAGGACTCGGATCAGGAATACAATGGTTGGTGGCAGGCCAGCAAAATGATGTATTTTCTTTGAACAAGTAAATAAATGTGCTCTACCCATTTATGCCACATTGGGAAATATTTTTGAGTTCCCCAATCAGGAAGGGACAGATTGAGTCTAAAAGTCCTGCGGGTTTTGGTTGTGGCTTACAATATAATGGAATCAGATGTGATTCAAAAGGAACACCCATAAGATATGATACAAAGATATGCAGTTGGCAAGATACAGCATCACAGAACGAATGTAGTCAGCAGCAAACAGAACAAAAATAAATGAAGCAGCACTCACGTCATAAGTGCAACTAATGATATTGAAAAAGAAGCAGCAATAATAACATTCCACTTAACCATATGTACCCTGCCTCATTTTCCACCTGTCATATGCTTTCTACTTGGGGGCATTTTCACATATTAACATGGCACCAAACCAAGTTTACCAAAATGTGTGAATTCTAACTGTAGCTGGTCAATGGGTATACCAATACAAGCATCTGTAATATTCTCATTTCACAGCTTAGATGCATATTTGAAAAATATCTAATCTAATTTATCTATCTAGACAGAACTGCATGTGAATTATACCTTGATGACATGGTATTGTTGTCAAAATTCACTCAGTTCAAATATGATAGGTAAAAACAGGCAACTTGTGCCTTCAGATATTGCTGAACTGCAATGTTTTTATACAAGGATATGGCAAGGACTAACAGTAAAATCCTATATGCATTTATTCTGAACTTTAAATTACAGTGCATTTAATGGAACACAGCTCATTCCAAAGCAAGAGTATATATGGACCCAACCTAATTCATTCTGAACCTTTTTGTAATGTGGCAGGGGACAGACATTTCAGAAGTAAATGTTCTGAGAGAGAGAGTACCTCAATTGGTTCAATGTCACTAGCTGTGGAAGGGGACCTAGATCTTGAATGGAGGTGACACTTGATATCTTCATCCCGCGAAGGTGTATTAGATAAGGTAAAATTTTCAACAGAATCAATCTAAAGAAACAAAGGAAAGAAACAAGCCAAAGAAAAAAGGAAGGGAGAGGAGGGGAGAAGATTAAGAAGCCACTTTTGATAATTTTTGCAAAAATATAGAATTGCAAATAGGGGGATCATATTAAATTTTAAAAAGAAAGAAAAAATAACCCACTCTTAAATCATAAACATTTGCATTAGATTACCTGCCTTCAATGACAACATTGTGCCAGTTTCTCTAAAACCCTATTGATACAAGATCAGTAGAGTTCACTCTGAGCACTGATTAGTTGGTCATTTATGTAAATTGAACTCATGTCTCCACTTGTCAGGCACTGAGGCTTTCTTATGCAGCTTGATTTTAAAAAGTTCATTTACACAACATAGCAAAGGATATTTTAAGAAGCTCCAGCTTTCTTAACAATTAAAGAGTCATATCAATGGAAAGATAATAATAAATGATGATACTAACCAAGAATTCCCACTATGACACAAGATAAAACCTTGTTTATGTGTAATTTAACCGACGTAATAAAAGGTTATATTTTAACAGAATTTGCTACTCTGCAGTTGTTAAATAAGCTCTAAGAAAAGCTTAACCCATTGAAAAATAAAATAACCTCTTGATTTACATTTTCTAATTTCAGTTATTATCGTCTTAATTAGAACTGTCTGATGGTTAGGCGTTATGCAATTTTAAAATTCTGACTTCTAATTACTTTGGCCATGGGCATATTTTATTGAAGTATCTTTAGAAAAAGGTTCTTATTGAAAATTTCATTTCATTGAACTAGTTTCCTAATAGTTATCAACAACACTGCATAGGAATTGTCCAAAAATTCATTTCTCTACAAAAATGAATTAGTGCATGTGTGTATGTCTGTGTATGCATCAATTGTCATTTTGATAAACCAAAATCCTTAATAAAAACACCCTTAACAAAAATATATCTGTAACGTCATGTATGAATACGTTCTTTAAAAATGGCTAGAGAGTGACTTATGGTCTTAAAGAACAGAACAAAACAAATATCCCAGATAAGACCTATCATACTACCTTTGTCTAACAAAGAGGCTCCCTTATAAAGAACCAGATCACTGGCTGATTTAGCCCAGTATTATCAAATCTGTCAATTGCTCCCCAGGGCTTCAGGCTGGATTTTTCCTAGCCCTACTTGGAGCTTAGCCCTACCCTGGTTGTCTGCCACCCAAGTATCAACCAAGGCCAAATTCCGCATAGCTTCTGAAACCAGATAAGACTGGATGTGTTCAAGGTTGCATGCTAATATAAGTTTGTATACACATGTAGCATTTAAACAAATCATTGGTAGAAAACAGGTGTATAAAAGACCTCCTTTCCTTTTGTTCACTGTTACAGGTTGAAAATCCTTCATTAGGAATTCTGAAATCCAAAATAACCCAAAACTGTCCACATGGGTGGCTGACTGCTATATATATATTAGTAAAAGTTCATATTGGGCAAAAGAGTAATTGAGACACAAAATATGGTTCAGTTCTTTATATGACAATGCACAGTTTAACTGATGTATTATATATAATGAAATATTACATAATTATCAGTACACCTGTTTGCTACATATGTGTAAAACGTTTTAAGCGTTGCAGCAGTCGCTAGCAGAAATTCTTTTCTATGCTCAGGTTTAAGAATAGTTCTGACATTTCATGCCATTTTTAATATAAACAAGTAATGATGCTCATTAACAATAAACAGTATCAGAGGCAATTTAAGTAGCTTTTCTACACAGGTCTTTCTGATGTACTTGCCATACTTTGTATATGTGCCAGCATGGTATGAAAGATACATGACATTATAGTTCTGTATTTACTTTTTCTCTCTATTGTTTCCTTCCAAAAGCAACACAATACAAAATAATGTATAACACAAGCTGGCTCTTCTTAAAAGTATGTTTTACAAAAAAAAGGTAGAAGTTTCCATCATTTTCAATGCATTCAACATGATAGTAAGGTCTTTTGATTTCCATGGAACAATGTGTCTCAATTCATCAGAGAACTATCAATGGGTGGAAGCGGATTCCCTTCCCCAGATGTTCCACAGTCCAGTCCCAAAGTTAAGCAGCAGATTCCATATTTTCTGATATGATTGCAAACACTCTCTGTCAGCTATGATGAAAATGACTTTTTTCCAGAATCACTTCTACTGCAAAGGGGGAACATAGTCAAAGGAAATTGTGCTTATATACTCTCTAATGTTCTGTAAGTATCATTAGTCTTGAAATTAGTCTTTATCAATTTTGCTGTATCTATCATATTAGGCACCCTACACTAATAATGTACTGCCTAATCGTACTCAGCTTGGAAGTAATCTAAGGTCACGGAAAATGAGTTCCAGGTGTGGTTTTGGTACTTTATTTGTCTGCCAGGAAACAGTTAGTGAGAACTGTCAGAATTGACAATCCTGACCAGATTCAAGGATTCAGGTGGTAAATGGGAGATCTGCTGTCAGTTAGGAACCACTGTATGTATGACTGAGACACCATAGTAGCAACTGAAATCCATTTATTGATTGATTAAAAATTAGAGTTCAGTGACTGCATGTTAAAACAATTGACTCACTTCAAACTGACAATAGTTTATCTATGGCTGTGTTTCTACAGAAAACAGATAGTTGAAGTGGTGGATTTGAATTCTGATAACCATCATGCACTATAATCTAATTCATTTAAACAACTTTTAGAACTGTAGTTTTAAAACTTTCTGTGATGTTCTAGAGCAAAAAAAGCAACATTAAAAACAAGAACACTATATACATTCTCAAGGATTTTAACATAAGCAGTATTAAACATGAGGAACATACAGAAGTAGCAATAGCACGAGACAAGCAGCAAGATAAATATGCAAGCCATGAAGAGCATCAGCAAAAATGGTCTACATCAAACAAAGGCGAAGGCATACGCATTATAGGCAAAACTAAAAGGCCACACACAGCAAGACATTCTCTTACACGTCTGCCTTTGTGAACTGGAATACAGGAAGGAGAGCGCTTTAACAGAGAAAGGAGGAGACTGTTAACACAACGTAACAGAAAGGCACAGAATTCACATTTAAATTTCTAATGCAAGACACATACAGTAATATATATCTGTAGTATTCTGACCTGGGAAAAGAAAGGCAAACAGACTAGGGAATTCTGCTTAAAATAAAATAAACACAGGAAAATAAGTATTATTTCTAAGTATGTACATGTTAAAAATCTACTTCTCTATGCTCAACTATTTTTGAATAGCCAAAAGCTATATGTAACTATGTAAAGCACATTTTGAAAAAAAAATGTGAATAGTACTTTTCTCCTAATATAGCATATTGCTATTGAGAGCTTTCATGGTGTATTATGCATCTGATGGTGTATATTATGCATTTGATGAGGATTAGAGAGTTGTAGGATCAACTATTTCTGTAGCCATGAAGATCACTGATAAGTCTTTGGAAAGCTTTTGTGTCTAAAGACTATTTCACAAGTTTCTTGTGAGACCTATCCATCACAGTTTAAGCTTCTTGGATATAAAAATAAATACAGGGTATCAAAAATATCTTTACAATCTCATCATTATACAGAAATTAAGTTGTAGTACCTGGGCCAGTTTATATGTTGTATTTACTGCATATTTTTAGCCTCATGGAGAAAAAGGTCCATGGATGGGTTTAACCACACTGATGACGATCATTTCTCACAAGCAGGATTGCTGCTTTACTCACACAATTCACAGACACAAGATAATACTCATTAACATGCCAACACAGTTCATACACTGCTTCTTCCACTCAGCTGCATGAAGTTGAGAATATTAGAATATACAAACTGGTGGGATCATTGTAAGATACCACTCATCTCCAATGTATGTGATGGCACATGAATAATGTATGGGTAGCCATACAATGATAATAGTTAAACACTGCTTAACCGAGTAATGCTCTCTCACACATTCAATGATAATTAAGTGTGGCTATTCTGATATACATTAGTGATTACTGTATGCGGACAGAATGACAATTCTATTATTATTTTGTTTCTTTGGACCAATTAAAGCAAACTACACGAGTACCGTCTGGGCTTTTGTACCACAGGCACTTCACATAAATAGAATGGTCTCCATTCTTAAGGTGATGTTCATATCAATATATTGACTAAGATGAGTTCAGCACAATTTAGTTCAAAAAGAATAAATTAGTTTTAACAAGATCAAGGCAGTTTCAGTTTTATAGTACACATAAGTTACAGAATATGCATTTTTGTTAAATATGCAGAGTTAGTCTACTATTTAAATTCTCAAAAATGGCCAGAAGAGAAAGTTATATAAACTTTAGCCAGGATATAGTAGTGTATTTCCAATGGATCATACTGCTTCTTCTAGAACTGGTAACCTCCCTCAATCCTGCAGATCCTGGAAACCCACTTCAGAAGGCAGAGAAAGGTAGCAAGACCCAGCTCAACAAGCATTAAATGCAGTATCCTGCGGACTCTTAGCATTAGAATTTAATTTGAGATGAATTATTTAGACAGTCTAGTGAATCAGTTTCATACCAGAGTATTTTAGATTTTTTTAAACTGGAGGACTGTTCTATTATAGTAGTGAACTTATGGAACAGAGTAGACTAAGCCTGCGGTCAACAGCTGTCCAATTTCCAACCACAAAACTGTCTGCTTTGAAGCAAAAAGAGTCAGAAATAAAACCAGTGACTAATTTCTCAAAAAAGAAATATATCCCCCAATACTTTGCTTGCCAAAATGCCTTTACTAATTACTAGGCCCTGTTTCTTCATCTTGATTTTCCATTTGCAACTTTTAGGTCTCCTCCCAACTCTCTACTCCACTTCTGAGAGGCCACTATTGTCCTCTAAAGTCTTTTCTTATTCTAGAACAACTCTGCTTCTCCATCCTGTCACGTAATATCCCTTAAGGGTAGAGATTATCAAGTTCTCAAGGTAAGATGTTGTTCTAGTTATCTTGATTTATACCTTGCCTTCCTCCAAGATTGAGGCTCAATGCAAGTTTGATATGATTACAATATGTTAAAAACATACAGAAATCAACATTAAAATAGAACAACTCTATTAAGATTAAGTCAATTCAAAGCATATCCTTCAAAAAGATTTTAAAAGAAATTAAAATAGTACAATTGAAAATAATTGTAATACTCATGCTACATATACTTCCAGAGAAAACTACTGGCAAATTACTGATCTGTTGCTATAAATGGCTATCCAATCAGATTCGCTTTATGGAAACCTTATGAATGAGAAACATTTGAATTATTCTGTTACACCCCCCCCCCCCCCCCCCCCCCAGGTCTGTTAAACTCATGCAAATTACAAATACTACAACTTTTTACATTTTAAACAGACTCTGTTTAGAACCAACAAATTAGAAGTCCTGGCAATATTACTACACTCCCAATGTGACTGATTGAAGCTACTCACTACCCTCTTTCCTTGAAAATAAGACAGGGCCTTATGTTCATTTTTGCTCCTAAAGATGTGTTAGGGCTAATTTTCAGGGAATGTCTTTTTCCTCACACTGATATATTTTATTTAATTGTAACTAGGCTTATTTTTGAAATAGGGCTTATATTTTGAGCATCCTCAAAAATCCTGAAAAATCATGTTAGGGCTTATTTTCAGGGTAGGCCTTATTTTAGGGGAAACAGGGTACCATAATAATTAATATCCTTGCTGCATTGATTTTAAATAATGTGTTCATGATGTGTTTTTAAGATGGTTTATTATACAAGAACCTGATAGTATGTTTCTATTGTCTTTATTTAGAGGAATTATATTAGACTGGTTGGTGCAAACCAAATAATCAGTACTTAATTCTATGAAAAACTGTATAAAATGTATATAGATTAAGAGTTTTACTGAAGGAACATAAATGTTACGAACACAGTTTTCTTTTTGTGGAGTACTTACTATTCTTTCTTATGGAATTTAATAGATTTAAAAATAATATCCATATAATTAAAATTTTATATCATATGATGACCAGAATTTCTCCTCTTGAGAGGAACATCTTGGCCCAGGACACACTGGGCTTGTTGTCTGTTTAAAAAATTTGATACTGAAAACAATATTTACTGTTTTTTGCACATCACTCAAATAAATTTGAGTACTTGTATTCAACATACAAATTTAGCACTATTTCATTCTTTTAAAAGTCCTATGATATTTTGTGTTATTTTTGCATATATTATTGTCCTCTGTTTGCCACAACCCTATTTCCTCACTGCTCCTTCTACTTTTTTAAGGTAGAAAAAAATCTATTAAGTAGGAAAATATGGGATGCCTTAATTGTATCTGAAGGTGATAGAATATTAGTTATAAACTGCAACACACCTGGCATTTTATATATGCTACTATGGTATTTGTTATAGCTCCAGTAGGTCCTAACCTAAATCCAACAGCTACTCTCAATTAGAGCAGATCCACTGAAACAGTGGGAAATCATGTAAAAATTTACCTAACTCTCATTGATTCATTGGGTCTAGTTAGCTGAAACTAGCAATTTTATTAAGGCTCAAATCTAAGCAACTGTATGAAATGGAAGCAGGATCCTTGATTCAAGGTAAGATGGCTGTCTAGTCCTGTTACAATGAGAGGGGGCATGCGTGTAGCTTAAAGAATTTCAATTAGAGAACGGTTAATTCCAGCAATAAAACTATTCTGAGACAAATAATAGAAAATTGTGTAAGGCAGCAAAAGTAGAATTTTAAAAATGTTTTCTGTTTTACCCAGCAATAAACCATAGTTTTCAAACAACTGGCCCAGTATCTTCCCAGGTGTTTATCTGTGTTTTTTCAAATGTACTGAAGATAAAAGTGTACTCCAAATGGATAGAAAATTGCAAATTCTTTGGTTCATTCAGAAGGCAAATCCTTTTGCTCTTCTTATTAATTCAGATAATTCCTCAATCCTTGAAGGCAACATCACAATTACATTTACTACTAATCTAAAAGACTACTCACACCATAACTTGATGTATATCTGATAAAAGGATTTTTTTTATCAGTATATGAGTATACACCACTCTCTCTTTATTGGATTGCCAAGTGGTAGTAAGGTGTTCTCTGTCACAGCTACATTTAATTTTAAAGTAGCTAAGATGACAGCTTTATCAACAGGATATTTTCAAAGAGACAATGTTATAAAGAGAATGAGCTGCGTATATTCTGAGACAACACCCCTAATTTCTAATGCAATAACTACTACAAAGGAATATACATTAAAATAATGCAGTCAGTTTGAAAAGTACCCATTTGCCAAAAATATCCACTGGCTTGAAGTAAATTAACAATTTCTCAATGTTCAGTATCAAAAAAGTGTAAAGGAGAAACATTTGGTATGATTGTCAGAATGTTTAGTTAACACTCTGATGTCCAAATAGGGTTAGAAACCACTAATACGAAGGGAAATAAACTGAGCAGAGAAAAGAAAACAGCTTGAAAAGAAAAGAAAAATACACTTGCGTTCACCCCAAATCAAACAAAAAGAAATTTAGCTACCAATTTTACTGGTCAATTTCTGACCAAGCAGAATTAGTACCAATGGCAGGAATATTATTACAGAGTGACTGTGAGGCATCTTAATAAACAAGCCAAGTACTGAAGCTCCTTTCAATAGTAAAACAAAGGGAAAACATACATGCACAACATCAATTCTCATTCAATGCCATTAAAAACAGTATTGAAAACTACATAGAATATAAATGTATCAGGAGCACAGAAACTGTCTTGCTGATTTTCATGCTCTTGATGGCACAGATTAGTAAAATGACTGCATTACTGTGCAAAATTACCAAATGAATCTATTTTATACTGAGTAATTTGCCAGTTGGGAGTGAAAGACTTACGTCATCCATAAAATCAATCAATGAGGATGATGAAGAAGAAAAGGAATCCTATTTTTATGCACAGAGCAGTAAAGAAAGAAAAACAGGTAGATGAAAGCTTCTGTTTGCTGATAATAGCCGGAACTGTCATATTGTTGAAATCTGAAGTACAGAGAACTGAACTACAGATATATTCTAAATCACTAATAGATAATTTTTATTATAATTTTTAATGAACTGATTCTACCATAGCAGTTCATTCTTGTCATTTATTCCTACTGCTGCCAGATGGGGCAAAAGTAAGCTTTTCCAATTGGATCCCTGGTTTCTTTTCCATTCTGTCCTGCAGATTCTCAGAAAGAGAAAATCGGAAATGTCTTGCCATGGTAGGGTGGATTCTCCTTGGCAAGAATGGACTTTCATGGTAACCTCTTCAATGTACCATTCTCAGCAGAAAGAGAAAAAAAATGTTCCTGGATGATTAATGGCTTGAAGTAAATTAGTGAAAGTTTCTGTACCTGACGAATTTGCTTATACATTTGAAATCCAGGAATAGGCAGACTCTACTCTTTTTTTGACATATCAAATAAACATTGGGAAACTTTTGCTGGGTGGAACTGGCTCTTTGACACACCAATGTTTATCGATGAGATACAGATTGCTCAATTGCAAGATACTTTGAGTAGGATGTTGTCTGAGAAGACTATATGGAGTGGTTCCTTGACTTTTTTTTAATTATTTGTGTGTGCAAACCATAGAGTTGTTGGGGGGATATTAAGGTCAACCTTGTCCCCTTCCTTAACCACTCCTTGGATCTCCTTGTTGACTGTGGCTTTGGATGTTTCAGCCTCTAACTGTTGGAGCAACCTCATGCCCATTAGAGTTGCATCTATCTTAGAGGTGAAACTATGATCAACTTAAGGTGGATTAAACCTGGCTGAAGGACAATCAATCACACTTTAACACAGGCTGCTGTGGAAAAGCCAACCAGTGATGGTAGTAGAAGGGCACAAGTGAGTGATGTTTTATGACTAAGTGAGTTTGGGGGCCATATTAAGAGCATACATATGTTCCTGACAATGCAGACATGTTTTGGGGCATTTGAGCCTTGATAACTACAACTATTCTTGCAAATTTTGCCTTTAACTTTACCATCCTCAATCACATGACAAAAATAAAAAAAGAAATTTGGGGGATAAGACATTACTAGTAAGAATGTGCTAAGGTAAGAAATATTTTTTAAACCCAGGCAGCAATGAAATGGGTAAGATGAAGGAGAAAAGAACAAAGTATAAACAAAAGAAAGCTGAAAGATGGTGATACGACATTTCCTGGATGAGACAAGTTGAAAGAAATTATAGGGAAAGAAAGGATCCAATCAGAAAAGATTTACCTAAGAATATATGATCCCTTGCCCTGAATGGATGGTGTTAGAAGTAAGCTTATCTATGGATGGTTCATTCTCTATTGGCTGAGATACTGGGCTACTGTATAATGTGGATGTGTACGGTAATATGGGCATAAAGATGAGAGTACAGTTAAGTGAGTAGGTGAGTGCCAACAACTTCCTTTCTTAGCTGACTGTGACTGAATTTTATTTTCTTCATCCCTGCCAACTCTCACTATCCCCTCATGACATGTTCACCAAATATTACAAATGTGAATAAATAAATTATGGTCTGCACATATTAATCAGTTTTTGTTTGCTATTTCCAAACAAAAACTGAGGCCATTTTATTAGCAGCTGCACTTTTGATAGAGTTGTGCAGTAAAATAAGAAAGTGGATGGCATCATCACTGTATTATTAAAATGGTATACTGCTGGCCCCACCAGTCTATGCAGTGATGCCTGTCTTCTGGTGTGTCCTTGAAATCAGGGTGCTCTTGGAAATGTTCCAAGTCAGGCTTTCCAGAATACTCTGATTCTGATTATTCACCTGGAAGCAAGGAACTGGAGAAAGAGGCTACCCATAACAGACAACATCCACCTCCTGATAGCACAGCTAACAATATTCTTTGCTTCCCCACATCACTGTGACCATTTCCCTTCTGCTGCCATGGTCTATCCTGAGCACTGACAGGATTCTGGGCACTATGCTCCAATCTCCCCAAATTCAGTACATTGTTTGACAGTTGTGTTTCCAAACAATAATTGTGCTGACTATAATTCACATCTTTTTGTACCTATTAATTACTGTGCTTTCTTAACCAACTCGGTATGATAACATTATTGTCCAACTACTTTGAAGCTTTTAAAGATACGTAGACAAATATTTAAATACAAGGAAAACAAAATAGTAGAAAAGAGACAAATTTCAGATTTCAACCACAATATGTGTTTAAAGTAAAGCACACAAAGAAGTTGCACTTATAAGGATTGTTTATAAATGTATACAAATAATGCATTTGAATGCATCAGAATGCCAAAACCTGGTCAATTCTGCTAATTTTCTATTTTATTTTAATATGAATCTGGGTTTTTTTCTGGAACACATACAGTAGCAACCACAAACTAAATATGCATATCACCAGAAGATATCAAATTCAAGTAATTGTGTACTTACTTCAAATTGATCCAGAGCAGAGGCAGGTGCATTCAAAAATGCCAAGAAAGAATTCTGTGAGTCTTGGTGCTTTACACCTAGAAAACAGCAGCAAGTTTTAAATCTACATAAAATGGCTACTTCGGTCCTCCTATATGGGTTGTTCATTTCAATATTTACTTGTGCCAAAATGAATCAGCTTATTCTAAAACTCAAGAAGATGAACAAGAGGTGGGTTGTGTGTGTGAGAGGAAGGCCTGAAAACAGCATAAATTAGGGAATAAAGATATCAAGGGTTCCTTGTGCTCTATTCCATATATTTGAAGGAAAACTAGTCATTCAGGTCTGCAGGGATCTTTTCCATAAGAAATACTGGAATATAAAACCTTTTACAGACTATTTTGTACTGCTAACTCTATTAGACAAGGACCAGCTGTTTTATAAACAAAAATAATGGGATTTGCAGGGAAAAAAACCATGAAGACAAATATCTTTCATCAGGGTTGCATAGCATAAATCTCTGTATTCAGAGTTAGGAAAGACTGGAAATCATTTCTAAAGTCCATCAAAAAAAGAAAAGACTAATAATTATGCACAGAAAGCTTTGAATAAGACTGAATCAGGGAAAATCTCATCTCAAAAATTATCCTGAAATGAGACAAAAGGTCTAATCTAGAGCTGCTATCTTGAAAGATATCCAACATGCATCTTCAAAGTAATAGCATCTCCTGCCCAGCAAAAAAAGTCAGCACAGAAGACCGGGGGGGGGGGGGGGGGGGGGGCAGCAAGGGCACCACCATATTGAATTATATTTTGACAAAAATATGTAGCTGCTGAAATGCAATTGCATGTGTGTGTGCATGCATGTGAGGATTAAACAAGAAAAAAGAAGTGAAATGCAACATTGTGCTACTTAACCAACCAACCAACCAAATGTGCTACCAAATGCACAACCAAATGAGTATACACACATTTACATGGAAGGCATATGCATACATAATTGCAAGTGTGCTCGTGTACAATGCTACTGAGTCAAGCCACTCAACATTGTGCTACTGAATCAACCCACCAAATGTGCTATCAAATGCACAACCAAATATGCATAATAATTGCAAGTGTGCTCATGTACAATGTTACTGAATCAACCCACTCAACATTGTGCTACCGAATCAACCCACCAAATGTGCTATCAACTGCACAACCAAATCGGTATACATACATATACGTGGAAGGCATATGCATATATAATTGCAAGTGTGCTCATGTGCAATGCACATCTTCATGCAGAGGCCTTGCTTCTACAACCTTGAATTGAACACAGTCTCGTACCAGCAAAAAAATGGGCAATTAGTTTCATAGGAAACTTCCATGTGCATAAGACACCAACACAATTCTAGTCAGCTTTTCAAAAGTATAAAATGAACACAAGATAAACATGTTTCTATATTTTTGTCAGAGCTGTGGGTACATCTTATCATGCACAAGGCAACACAACACTTCAGGAGTCAGAATCTTCAGTCCAGATTCTGTCAGCATGCTATAAGAGGACTTTCTTGATAAGAAATACCCAGCACTATGAAGTGGATTTTGGCTTTGTTTATTTGGACATCAATTCCCTCACCCTTCTCTGAGCGGAGTTCTTCTGTCTCTTTTTTCAATCTCTCTATTTCTAACAGCAATTCAGAGTTCTTCTTATCCGATTCCTGGAGTTTGCTTTACAAATAAACAGTAAGAAAGACAGAGAATCAATTAGATAGGTTATCTTATTTGGTCATGGTTTGAACACTATCTGCAACTAAGTTCAATTACTATCCCTATCATCTAAGTCACGTTTGTTAAACTCAACATAAAACAAAAGGTAGTTCAATTGTACTAATGAACCTTGAAAAGGAAATCAAGACTTGTTTCTGATTTGGATTGTGTTGTATTTCCATTTTCAAACAACAATACAAACAATGGGAATGTCAACACAGCATGCTCATTCAAAAACTAAACACTAATTATTTTCCTGTTGTTTTGTCACAATTGTGATATTCATGTGAAGAACTGCATGCTTCCCTTTTTCTCATTATTTTTCTTACTCAGCTACAGATTTATTTTATTTTATTTAAAACCAACATTACTGGGTGTGTTTGCCTTTTGCCTGCCTGCCGAATTAATGTATTCTAAATTGAAGTTGCTGATTTCTCTGCATGTAAAATTACTATTAGTGCCCTACAGTCTAGATACATGCATTTGAGTCATAATGTGTTCTGCATCTAATATCTTCTATCTGTAACACAAATATTAAATAATTCATGATTTGGAGTAAGCAATATAATAGGTATTCTCTATGTCCAGGGTGTTTCTGTGCTTGCAGAATATTCTAATTTAACAGAGCAGACTACAGAAGAAAGGAAATCGTTTTTTGCTTCCGTATGTTCAATAGAACTTTTGTTCCAATATAAATTTCAGATAAATATTTATTACTCTGTTCAAATTAAAACATGGTTCAAATTTTATTTTCAGTAATTCTTGAAAAAAAAAAAGGAAATTACAAGCTTAAATTAAATTATAAAAGGATAGCATGAAACTGTTAGTAAACTCCTATCACATAGTCATGGTAAGTGATTTTTTTTTTTTTTTGGTTTATCAGCAAGCCATTCTAAGAAAGTCACTGCAAGCTATTACCTCTTTCCCAGGAATAACCATGTCTTACCATTCGGTTGAAATGTTAGAAGCTTTAACTTTATTCAACTCCTCTTGGATGGCTTGTTTGGCTCGTATTTCTGCATCAAGGGCTGACTGTAGTTCTAACCTTGCAGACATATCCAGTTTTGCAAAACGGCGCATCTTCCAGGGCATGTCCTAATAAGAAATGCATTTGTTTAGTCATCTTGTTTGTTCTTTGCAATTCAATGTATTGTCTTCACCAAAGGAATTCTGGCAACTCTTGCAGTTGCATCTAGTCTTGTCTTTGAGTGAACAGAAGGGCTCCTAAATAAATAAGAGCAAGTACAGGAATATTCCATTCACAATTATTAGTTAAGTCACATAGTCAGAGAAATATGAATGAGTACATGTGTGATATAGTGTAGCAGGTGACAGAACTCATTGTGATGGCACAGGAAGTCCTAGAACTAGAATTAATAATATCTTAAATTAATAGCTTACTGTTCCTCTTGCACCCAAACTGGAGTTTCTCAGGGCTTCAAGCTCTTCTGTCATTTTAGAGGCTAAGGCTTGAAGGTAGCCTCGAGCATCCTTTTCATCACTCACCCTAGTCAAACAATGGAATAAGAGTTAAGAATTTGGGGAAAGCAAATATAAGGTTTTTTTACTGCGAAAGTGAAGCCACAAGGATAAATGAAATTGAAGCTATTCACATGATACATTTAATAAAATTAATGAATTTGATATATATAAAAATAAATGTTAGCCAAAATACAAACTATGAATCACTTTTCTGAAGCTCACTGAAGCCTACAGTATTTTCTACAATACATAATTGATACTGTTGGCTATGGGTCCTTCTACACAAGCAGTCCCCGGGTTACAAACATATAAGTTACACATGACTCATAGTTAAGACCGGAGGTGGACCAACAGAAAGGTGGGACACTTCTTTCAGCATGGCTGGGAATGGGGTAGGATTCCACACCCCGCCCCCCACCACACCAATTTCCTCCAAAGAAGACAAATCTCCACTGCCTGGTGGCTTCATGCTCTTTATTTCTTGTTTTGTAGCCATTAAGTGGGTAAAGCAACTTGGGAGGAGTGAGCCCCCTTCCCTTCTCCCAAGCTGTTTTGCTCACTTTAATTTATTTGATAGTTTAGATCAGGCATGGGCAAACTTTGGCCCTCCAGGTGTTTTGGACTTCCAACTCCCACAAACCAGCTATTAGAAATTATGGGAGTAACACCTCGAGAGCTTAAGTTTGCCCATTCCTGATTTAGATGCACACAGTTTAACCTTTTCTCACCTGAACTGGAATAACCGTTATGTTGTGAGGCAGACTTCATATTCTGAGTTTTAACAAAGAAAATGTTTTCTTTTTCAGACTGTTTTAACAATTAACATGTCCTGGACTACAATGGTATCAAGTTTTGTTTGTTGAAAAAAATACATTAGCAATGTATTTGTTTTATTGAGCTTTTGTTTGGCAAGAAAGGGCTAGGTTTATAAAAAGGATTTGAAAATATCTTGTTTTGGGTTCATTATTTTTTACATCTGAAAAAAAAGGTTTGCAAAGAATGCTCCCTGATCCCTGGGTTTTTAAATTATGTTTTTCAAAATTGCATCTACACACTAGGATGCCTTCCAGAGTTTCAGAGCTCTGGATAACTATGCTCAAAAGGGAAAACTATGTCTAAATATGGACAATATGATTACACTACATGTGAAACTTAGTCTAGCTAACAGGGCTTTCCTAAAAAGACTATGTTTATCCCTTTTTACTCTAATACAAAATTTAATTATACAGCTGTTATGAAAGCCACTAAAATGGAAGCAAAACATCTTAAAATGAATATGATACAAAGCTCTAACAGTCTAAGTGATTTGTGGAAATGTTTAGGTACACATTGTTTTTAAAAGTTACATTTTACAAATGGTTTAGGAATTGGGAAAAATTGAAAAAATACATTTCTATAAAATTTCTTTCATCTACTGACAGTTTAAATGTATGCTTAGGTCTTTCTCTCTGAGCCCTGCTAAAGCAGTGGAAGTGGGCTGTCCCAAAAGGAGAAATTGATTATTCAAATAATTACTGAAAAATCAGCTTGCATGATGTGTTAAGTTCAATCTTAGAATTCCAAACCAAGCCAAGCCACTTTTGTTTAGAGTCCTACATTCATAACACAAAATACAAAGTGACCTTCCAATAACAGCTAAATAGAAATTTCCCATTTTAGTTAAAATATGCAGAATTCTGGAGGGGACCTAAGATAGTGGAAAAATTGCTGCACATGCAGTGATCTCTAGTGCAGCCAATCATTTTGCATGTACAAAACTAGCCCATCCTTTGCTTTTTACATAATGGGTAGGGGGAAATTAATAGACTCTTGCTGTGGGTTTTTTTTTCATGCAAATAGGTGTACAACTGTGGGATTCAGCATAACTCAGATGAGATATATTTATACAGTTAAAAAGTATACTGGTTTTCATTACAAATAACCTTTCATTCTTCCATATAGGAAGCTTCCTGAAATAACAAAAACAACTTAAAATTGTATGTTACTTGAACAGACATGAATCATACCCAAACATGGGTTAACATTTGTTAAGGAGAGTCATGAGTTTTCTAAAGCTTTAAAAGACATCCAGGGACTAAAGATTCACATTTTCTTTATGAAAAACAAGAATGGTTTAGTTTCAAATATTAAATGAGGAACAGTGACAAGAGAAAAGATTAAGGTACTCACCACTGGATGATCTCAGTGATCTGGGCTTCCCAGTGTGCTACAGATTCCCTTTTGTCAGCAAGATCTCTCATCTCTTCTTCCAGTTGACGGTTACTCATGCTTATTCTTTCATACATGGCTGTAAGCTAAATACATTTGAAAATAGTATTTATAGATATGATTATGATATGGTGACCTCTTGTGCTTACCATTGCAGCATTTGTAGACCTTTCCATATACTGTTGCCCCACTCCCCCATGTTTGCAGTTTGACTTTTGAGGTTTTGATTATGGGAATCTTTAGGTCCTTCACTGTGATTCTGTGGTTAATTTCCAGTGGAAAAAAATTAACAGAATGTTTTTAATTCTGGCTGATGCAGACTCACACTGGAGGACCAAAACGTTTGATCTAATCTATGAATTGAATCTGGAAAAGTCACATTGGGAACATGGAAGGCAGACAGTAAATGGAGTATAAGCCCTTGCTTTTGTAGAGGGACAACTGTGCAGGACTTTGCAAGCGTATCTCATGAACTTTTCATTTTGCTTGAGAAAAATTACCTTGCTCTTCTTAAAGTGATCAACATAAAACTTAAAGTGATGTTTTGTGAGATTTGAAAAAAAATTACATATATATAATCTAATATGAACCTCTGCAATGGAATTAGAATTAATTAACTAATTCTGCACTGAAAGCTTAAAAAATCCTATGGTTGCATCCCCTAATAATGCTTAATGAGCAGCTCTCACTATCTTTGCTTGGTATTTTAATTTTCTCATGGATTACTGTATTTACTCAAATCTAACATTCCCTTTTTGGGCTAAATTAGGGTGTGCATTATTTGTGTCATATAGTGATCTTAATTCTGGGCCAAAGCCGAAAGGGAAGCTGCTTCAGGAGCACCTGGAGCTTGAGGGATGCCACCTGTAATTTAATGGCCATGACTCAATGCTTTGTAATCCTGGGATTTGTAGTTTGGTGAGGCATCCACTTCCTTTGGCAGAGAAGGCTCCAGGCTTTGCACAACTACACCCCGCACGATTCCATAGGATTGAACCAAGGCAGTTAAAGTGGATTCATTCTACAGCATAGATGAACTCCAAGATTTTCTTTTTCATTGGGGATCGCTTTGATGTTCCAACACTTCGGTTTTTAAAGAAGGAATTCTAGGCAGGCAGCAATTGTAATGGCCAAATTACAAAGAGTGCGCCTTTTGCTGCTGCACATTACATTAATCTCAAATATTATTTTTTTTGTTTCAGGGTTTTGAAAATTGAGGTGTGCGTTAGACTGAAGTAAATATGGGTACATACCTTATCAAGCTCACTGGAAAGTTTTTTGTTCTCTTCAGTCAGCAAAATTTTCTCCCGTTCATATTTCTGTTTGAACTCTGTTTCAAACTCCTCCCTTTCACTTTGGCTAAGAAAAAGTATACATCGTAATCAATGGTTAACAAATATAGAAAGTATGGAAATTGGGAAACGTATATGTGGTTTTACCACTAACTGTGGTTTTCTATAGATAGAAAATCACAGTTGGTGGGGAAACCACTTAGGCAGTTCAACAGTATTCTTAAGAAACTGAAGATCTGTCAATAACCAATATACATTAATATGCATGATCAGGAATATTAACTGCAACTGGAACAATTTTATTGTCTCCTTTGCATTAGGTTTAAAACATTTTTATTCAGTCAGGTTTTCAGAAACAGACTGGATGGGCTTTTGTAATGCTGTGTAGTGCTGTTTTTTTAAATTTAAATTTTGTATGTGGTTTTTAATGACTTTTCATGTTTAAGTGTTTCATAGAACTTTTGTATTTATACTTTTAATGAAAGGTTTAAGAGAAAGGCAGGATATAAATATTAGTATTAATATTACTAAAAAATAATGTGCTTTGTGCTGCTAATATACCAATCTTTTAAAATGTAAGATTTGAAAATTTCAAGTTAACAGCTGATAGACATTTTATTTATAGCTAGATTAAATTTGATAGTCTTAAGCTTCTGAAACTCATGAAATATCACAATAAAACATACTGGATGTGAAACAGTAAAAGATAAGCATAGACAAATTTCACTTAAAAACAATGGAAGTTAGGAAGTCTGGAGCTGATGCAGATTGTATCCATCCCTGCTTACAAATGTTTGCAATTCAGGGGAAATATTCAGATTAAATATGCTTATTTATTTTTACAACCCTCTGTAATTCTGAAGCCAAGCCAAACCCAAAGAAAGAGTTCCCATATATGGTTTCAAGTTCTGCAAACTTTTATGCATGAAAATTCCTGTTAAGTTAATAAAATTGGTCTAATTATAACAAACCTCTGTGTCTGAATCATCAAAAGCTAATCTGCTTTAATTTCAAGCAACATCACCTTTCCTGAGTTTATACATTGTTCCTTATACTTCTGTTCTAGTCAAATGCACTATTGCATGCTGGAGGGAAAGACTGGGAAAGGAAAGAATGGAAGCCTCCATTGCGTTCTACAGAAGCAAGAATCAATTTGGGAGACTGTTTAGAAAGAATATGAACCCTCCTGTCATTTCTGAAAATCTTCTTGGTAAGAATGAGGCACCCTCTCTCCAAAGTTAATGAATGAGGTCAAGGGGATGAAGTAGGAAAATTATTTTTCAGGGGAGTCTAAGGGTGGGGGGAGAAGAGATGGGGAAGCCCAGCTCCACAAACTTCCCCTTCCTCACAGATGAGTTTCAACCCATTGTCTGCTGTCACCACTCTGTGTTCTTGGCATAAAGGCCCCACGGCTCATTGAAAAAGTATAAAGAATACTGGACAGACTGATTAGACATGTAATGGTTGTCTAAATCTTGAGAACGGAAGATCTCTAGACAAATTATGTAAGCAGCAGAGAAATTCCGAAATACTTTTTTCAAGAATTGGGAAGTCTAATATTTAATCCTCCAAATTAAAGGGCTACATGAGTTTGGGACTGAAAGTTGATTTTGGTGTAAAAATAAATAAATCTGGATAGCCTTAACTATGTCAGAATCTATTGTTAGGCTTACTTAATGCTTTCCCCAAACAGAGAGAAACGGGTGAAATTCTAAATCACAAAAAGACAAAAATGTAATCTGATGCTTAAAGAGTCCTAATCCTTTATCTGAGATGCTAGCCTTAAACTCATGTCTCCCACATATCTGAGAGAGGTATAATCCATTCCTCTGACAGTTAATGCCTTAATCTTTTCAGCTTTTCCCAACATTGTTCACCATATGCAAGGAATCTGTTACTCAGAAAGAGGGGTGTGTGGTGTTGGGTTGCCAAATTAGAGTTTAAACAGCAGTGATTAATATGCAACATTGTTAGAATGAAGTGTTATGTTTCACATAATGTCTAGCAATGCACAAATTCAGAACCAAGTCCAATATTGCCGATTCTGTATACCAAATCCAGATCATAACAGAAATACTTGTATAAAATTTCATTATAACTGTCTAGTGGTGGCAGACAAAAAAATGTTGGGATTTCTTAACCACAGTGAAACAAATGGGAGGAGATTACTTTCATGACTATTTTTCTCTTTCTAGTATTGCCTGTTTCATTAACAACTTTCAAGAAATATTTTTTACTTTGCAATGGGGAAAATGTGATGTGAGGCTTATGCTAACTAACTGCTTTGATGGTAAGCCTCAGAGATCTGATATGGTGAGGCTTTCAGTAGAAATAGGCCTAAAAAAACCCACCCAAAAAAGCTGTTGAACATAGGGGAAAACCAGAGGTGACAATAAATTGGTAGTTCAAAATACTGGTTCAGAAATAAAGGCAGCAAAATACACTTTAGTCAAATAGAAAATTTGTGTTCTTTCAAGCCCTTGTCATGCTTCTCATCTTGCCTCACTTTTTCTACTTGCTGGCTCAAAAAGCAAAGATTGGCACTAAGGTGAACACATGAAACCTACACTACTATACATACTCCTGAGAAGTTATGAATATAGTGAAACATGTTCTTGAATAAGCATGCACAGGGTTAGATTCCAAAATTACAAAAATTGAGAGAAAATTGAGACACTGTATTACGTCCATATTACGATCTGGTTTTAGATGTTTTTTCTGATGGGGCGCCAATATGTATGTTTATATAGAATACATATTAAGTTCTCTCACATCCCTGAAATAATAACTTTCAAGGTAATGCATATCATACAATGAGGTAAATCAGATTCTTGAGGCCTCCGCAACAGATTTTTAAAGATCATGCAAAGTACTGTCTAGACCAGTCCTGCACAACCTGCAGCTCCCCGGGTGTTTTGGACTTGAGCTCCCAGAATTCCCAGAATTCCTGAGTACTGGAATAGCTGGCTAGGGCTTCTGGAAGTTTGAGGCCCAGAAGGCCACAGGTTGTACAAGCCTGGCTTGGGTGAAAGGAATCACATCTATCTCAGTTCTAACCAATGGAAGGCTAACTATCAGCAAAATTATCTTGCTTTTGCCACAGCAGTGAGTCTCAAGTCAACTTAAAAAGTTAAAACAGATTCACGTAAAAGTTCATATCATTAACAATATATAAAAGTTAAAATATAATTAAACTATAAACTGATTTAAAAGAAATCTAATATCATAGCTATTAAACAATTGTATTATGCAATTGTATTAAACATTACAAAATAGTATATTAATAAAAGCCTTAGCTTCATGTGCAGTTAGTTCTCAAAGGCCCAAAGAAGCATTTTTCTGGTATTGCGTGCCATGGTACTGACTCTCCTTTCTCTTTTCCCGGGAGGAAAGGAGCTCTGTTTTTCTTCTGTTTCCTAAGTTGGGAGAACAGGAGAAATGGGAGCCATTTCTCCTCCATCCCCAACTTGGGGGACAAAGGATAAATGGGGGGACAAAGGACAAATGGCTTTCTCCTAGGTCTCTCAGCTGGGAGACGAAGATGAAAGGCTTAGGGGGGGGGGCTGCTCTACCATCAGGCGGAGGCTGGCGAGTCTGCTAGTCTCAGTCTCATGGAGGGACAAAGGCACCTTTTGGCACACAACTGTAATGCACCATTGAATCTAATGTGCACCTCAATTTTGGCTACGCACTTGAGCCAAAAAATATGTTCATTCTGTTAGAGTAAATACGGTATGCTCCATATTTCTATCAATTAAGCTTAATTTTGTATTAAACTGCAGAATGCTTTGTTTCCCCCCATCACTAATACCTAATATTCTAATGCTATGGCAGATCCATTCATATGTTTATGAAATACAAAAATGAATAGAGGATTACTTCTCTATTAACACAATGCTGTTTCATGATATAGCCTTCTCAGCGATAATAGCCTGGTTTCAGTTTAAATTGTCTTATCCATGTTATCTATGTATATATATTTTCTCTAGGCCAGCATGGTCTCTCTTATTGTGACTTCTTACTTTTTCAGATATATGGATTAAAACTCCAATTACTTTCTGCTAGTATAGCCATTGGGAAGGTAGCTTAGACAGAATGTTGATGTTGTCATTTATATTTTCAGCCAGGGAAATTAAAATGACAACATCACTATCTATGTATGTACACAGAATATGTGTACAAACTATGTATGCTATTTATATGCCCAGACTAAACATATATGGGTCGATCTAGTAAATTTCTAACAGTGGGGATGTGATTTGAGCAGAAACTTGTTCAGAAATTTGATAGCCAAAATTGGGAGAAGAACATCTTAGCTTATTAGCTCTTCTTCCTAACCCATGTCCTACATAGTTCACTAACTCAGTAGAGTAAATCTGGAATGTCACAGGGGTCTGCAGAGTGAGGGAGGATTCAGTGAGGATTGCTGCTTCCTGAACAGATGAAAGGAGCCCTCTATTTGAGGAAGGCAGATTTTGGATTTGACCCATACTATTCTGTGAATTAGTTTAGCAATTATTCCTAGTAGTGAACCACAAAACAAATAAAGAGAAAGCATTGGTCCATGAAGAGAGGGATGCTACTCTGTTCTCATTCACAGAACCTGAAGTGTTTTATTGAAGTGTTATGTAGGCATTATACTAATGTACTATGCCGTTTCCATTAGCTAAATCTCAAACCACAATATGTTATTGCTGCCATTATTTTATCTATATCCTACCTTTCTTGTAATAAAAAGTATTTATTGAGATGGTCCAGTTAAAACAACTTAGTTCCATTCAGGAGTACTTAGGTTTAAAACTTTAGCTGCTTGAAGTCTTAAAATGGATTCAAATTGCATGATCTGGATGTACCAAATTAAGTACTGTATGCTAAAGTACAAAGCAATCTAATTATATTTACAATCATGGCATCTCTTTTGTTGAAAACCTGCAGTAAAATCAAGGCATAAAGAGTTTTGCAAATGAAAGGAAATATCAGTGGAAAAATAACTGGGATGTGCATACCTTTCTCTTCTAGTCTTTTCTAACTTGTCTTTCAAAATTAGGATTTCTTTTTTGAGAGCAAGTTGTTGGCTCTCTGCATCACGCAGCTCTTTCTTCAGATTTTTTATTTCATTAGAATGTATTACTTCTCGCTTAGATAGCTCCTCTTCATAAAAAACATTTTTCTTTTCCAAGTCACCTTTTAATTTTGTGATTTCTTGCTGATGTTCTGTGGTGCTTACCCCTGGAGTGCGACCAATTTGCTTCTGCTATTAAAAAAAAACAAAATTCAAAATTATTTTTCACAAGCTGCAAAAGTATAGAAACACAAGCTTAGGAACAACTGGCACTGCATATAGAAATAATTGACACTGCATATAAAATACGAATATTCAAATGACTGCAGTTCTTTATCTGAATGAACTATATGCTGGCTGGGGAATTCTGTGAGTTATAATCTACAAAGAGATTTTTTTGAAGTTCATATCTTTACTGTTATAATAATTATGTCAAACTAAAGTAACAGCACGGTCTAATGCTTTCTCAACCCCAAGAGATGCACCTCTTAGCCCTTATTCCAGTGGTTCTAAACCTGTGGGTCCCCAGATGTTTTGACCTTCAACGCCCAGAAAACCTAACAGCTGGTAAACTGGCTGGAATTTCTAGGAGTTGAAGGCCAAAACACCTAGGGACCCACAGATTGAGAACCACTGCCTTATTCAGTGATCAGTTCCAATATTTTCAATGGAGCCCATTCCCTTAAGTGAGCAGGGTATTTCAGTATTCTCTTTAAGTAAGAAAGTTTACATCTTTTATTTTTTAAAAACCCAGAGCTCCCTCAATTTCTAATATTAAAAGCTCCAGGAGATGCTTTTTTTCATAACACCCTGCTCATATACATGGATTAATATTCTTCTAGGTAAACTGAGTAATTGATACTCATGTCACTACAATTACATGTGGAAGATTAAATTTAAAAAATACACCCAAACTGAAATACTTTGGCATTATCTGACAAATACATTATTGTCAATATTTACGGGAAAGAGTCTTTACTAAGGGAAATGATATACTAATCTGCATCCCCCTTTGCCATGTGTCAGTAGTTACTTTTTCAAATCTACCAAGCAACATTTGAAAATGGTGAACTCCACAAACCTTTAGTCCTTCCAACTCATTTTCCAGCTGCTTAGAATACTGTTCACTTCGCTCACGCAATTTCCTGTCTTTCGATGCCTCAGCAACTGCAGCTTCAGCATGAACTTCCAGCTACAAAAATAATGTTTAAAAAACTGTTATCACCTTTTGAACTTTGGCTTTCTTTAATAACATCAGAAAAAATATCCTAACAGTACACTTTTCTTTATTCCATGGCTCCTGCTCCCAGCTAAACAGGCAGAGATTTTAGGGATTGTACTTGATCCTGTTATTATCCTCAACTTTCTTGCAAGCAATCATTTTAGAAAAAAAAACATTCAAAGACAAAGGCATGTTAAGTCTATTTTGGCACACAAAGATAGAAAGGAATCCTGTAGCATTTAACTGAGAAAAAAATCTGGGACAATATTTTGTGGACGCCAGCCAACTTCATTGGATGTATTTTGGGATGTAGAGATATGCTACACTAACAATTTTCACTAGGAGTAGCAACAAATCTTAAGTTTCTGGTACAATCACTTGATTTATACCCCACCTTTTCCCCCAAGACTGGGATTGGAGGGAGGTTTTTCACTATAACAGAAAAAAATAGGTTAGATCTAAACCTATTGAATCAATGAGAATTTCTTAAATAAACACTGATTTAGGTAAGTTCCACCAATTCAATGAATTAAGAACTGGATTCTAGACATTATTCTTTCTGTGTCCATTTAAAATGATATTGACAAAGGATCATACTAACTGACCAGCTTTGTCTTCCCTCCATGAATTTTACCTAGGTAATACATTTCAATATTTGAGTTGTTTCTCCATGTTTCAATGCTGCTTTCCAATCAAATACTTAGGCTTTTAAAAATATACTTTTCAATTTTAGATTATTAGACTGAAAACACACCACAATCTTAGGTCTAAAACGTGTAGAGAATTGCATCCAAAGTATCAGAAAGTGTCAGTAATTCACTAGTTATCACTGCATGTCAATCAAAAGAACTGAGAAATATTTACTTGGGAACCTGTTTCCAGTAGTCACTACCTTCAACACAACTTACTTCCTTTTTCAATCTGTCTGTTCTACGCAGCTCTTGTCTCAAAGTTTCTACTTTTTGAATCACAACTTCCATTTCTTCTTCCTTATCTCTGACTTGACGGGCAAGTTTCTGTTTTTGTGAATGCAAGTCAGTAAGTCGTTCATTCATTTCGGAGAATTCCTGCATTGCCAATTTCCTCTGGCTATGTGCCTCTTTCAGCTCTTTGGTCTGAGTCTTTAATCTTTCACTAGATTCAAGCAGTTCCTACAGTCAAAAACAAAATATGAGATATCTTTATCTTTCAGATTTATGCAATTCAGTGGGATATTCAGGTTTTCTATTTATGTGAACAAATACTGACTGCTCCCCATCTTCAAAAAAGGCATCCTGTGCAGACTCTAAGACCATTTTTGGAAGAAAATAAATTCCTTTGGAAAGATTGGAACTTAATAGAACCCATGACTCAAATAGGACTCCTATCTATTAGTCCAACAATTCTACCTGCTGTCAACCTTTTTAAAATGCCTATACCTCCATCTTGTCTAATTGAGACCTGGCAAGGGCTGCCTATAGAATATAGTTTGTTTTCAGGACCAGCCATCAATCTTTGCTGCAGGACACACACAAAGAACTGGCAAAGGATTTTCAGCATTTTCTCAACCCTGAAGGGTCATACATGTTAGGTTAATAGCAAACAGAAGTCACTTCATATAATTTAAAAAGTATTTTAGTGATCCTGTCAACTACATTTTGCCATTTCCCCATTTCTGAAGTCATCCAAAATTGGCAGCCAAGGTGACAGAAAAGTCCACAAGAGCTGCCAAGAACTCCCTTGAATCCATCAGTATCCTGAAGCAGACTGTCCCAGGTGGTCCACTCCAACTACAAAGGTTCTGAATCCCTAACTAAGTAATGATATGTTCATGATGTCCAAACTACAGCAAGTTGCTAGTTATTTATTACATCTAGTCTTCTAAGAAGATCCAAATTAGTTGTAAGTTATTTTAAAGGTTACTGCATTCCCCACCACTAATTACTGAATCTGTACAGTTTCTTTCCTCTTCTTTTCACTGAGTCTTTTTAGAGGCATATTCACTCTAGGATGTCTGTCCCCCATGTTGTCACTATATCCAGATCTTTCATTAATCTAAAATGTGTGCTCTATACTGAAAAAATGTTTTCTATGTGGGGATCAAGGATTGTCATGGAAGCGTACAGTCAGAAATGAGTCATATATCACATTTCGCAATGCTTGTTTACTATGTTTATCAAAATAGTTGTTTCAGAAAATACACACAAAATGCAGACAAGATAATATACACCCTTCTCTATCTCTCTTTATGTAACTGTTAAGAAAATTATTTTTTTACCTTATTAAGATCATCCCTATCTTGCTTTAGTGCTTTGATTTGCTTCTCAAAATTTTTGATTTGCCTTGCAGCATCTTCTAATTCTTGTCTTGCAGAACTGGCTTCTTCAAGTTGTTGTTCTAGTTGTCCAGAATCTAGGAAAAAAACATAAATAAACAACATATGGCAAAATATAGTTCTCATTGATGAATGCTGTATAATAGTGATTAGCTATATAGGACCAAAGTTAAATCCATCCCTCTGAAGATTGCTGGATGAAATTCTAGTTGCAAACTCCAAAACAAAAGGTGTGTTTTGGGTTGCTGTAAATTTTTCAGGCTGTATGGCCATGTTCTAGAAGCATTCTCTCCTGACATTTCACCTGCATCTATGGCAGGCCTTCTCAGAGGTTGTGAGGTCTGTTGGAAACTAGGGAAATTGGGTTTATAGATCTGTGGAATGTCCAGGGTAGGAGAAAGAACTCTTGTCTGGTGTGTTTGTGTATCACATGTTGATTGTAATAAGAAAACCTGCCAGCAGGCTATTCTAGTGTACAGCAGCCACCAGCATTCATGTCTTTCTTGAACTATCCCTTGTATAATACAAGATGAAATAATTTTTCTGTGTTTACATATATTCTACTAAAATATTCATATAGCCTTAAAAAGTTAAAAATAATAAACTAAATAAAACACTAATAATACAAAATAGAAGTAGACCCGAAGGGCTCCAGAAAGCTACAGCCAGAATATAGCAGGTGGTATGGTTTATTAGAATCATGCAACTCAACACATTTACAGCACTGTAACAATTGAATTCACACATAATGCTATTTTCTATTGATGATCTCAATATTGAAAGACAGGGCAGAATTAATATATAGGGGCTCTAACTAAGCTAGATTTGCATGACACTAGCCTAAAGTATGTATGATTCTAGCAAATATCAAAAACCTTAGAGGCCCCTCATAATCTGAGGACATGGACTTCAATTTGCTTAGTTTATACATAAATGTTTGAAGGCTATCTCCATCCATGTATGTCTACATGTTTACCAAGATTATCAACAAAGACTCACTTGGAGCTGTTCTCTACACTTGAACTATGTCTGACAATGTCAACCTATGGAATTCTCCTACAGGAAGCCTACTGATCTCCACTTTAACATATTGTTGTTGTTGTTTTTCCATAGTTATTGTGGAATTGTAAATTTTAAACACTATCATCTGTTTTAATGATTCTTACTTTGGGTATAAATGTGTATTTATTTTCAGAGTTGGGTGGGATGGGTATTTACTTATATTTGTTGTACGGCATTGAATGTTGATTTTGTTGTTCACCACTCTGAGTCTCTTCGGGGAGAAAGGACAATATATAAATTAAGTTTTATTATTATAACATTATTATTTCTCTTAAATGGTAAAGCTCTTCCTTTTAGGAAACTGGTACTAAATTTATACAGACAGTGCTCTAACTTCACCTGTGCTGGAAATGCCTGACCTCACTATGGTGACATGTGATTTAGTTACATTTTCTTTGGATTGCAATAGACTCATCTATTCTATAAGGGATCCATTCTAGGATCCTTCCTGTGATATGACTTTCATGCATAATTTGGAACCCCCATTTTTTTACATTAAATTACATTAAATTAACAATGTCTTGGGTTTCTGGACAAAGCATACCACTGAATCACTCTGATGGACATAGCAAGGCCCAAAACTATTTCTCTCTAGGCCTCCAGCACTATTCTATGGGCAATTTGTGGAGGAACATCTAACACAAGTTGATCATAGAATCGCTCTGAAGAGAGAAGAGTACAAGTTCTCTGTACTATAACATGCTCTATTTAGTGGCCTGATTAAGTTTATGTTCTCTTAACCTCATGGATGTGTGGAGCTGGCTTGGAAAATGCTCCAAAACTTCTATAGAAACAAATAGCAACAGCCAAATTAGGAACTGGTTCCAGAAAGAAAACAACCACTACTTTGTTTCTGGAAACAACCGAATGAGCTTATTACGGCCTATAAAGCCCTATACTGCTTGGGTGCAAGATATCTGATGGATTATATTTTTCTAAATGAACCCATCTTAACTCTAAGATTCAGGCCTACAATCTTCCTAGGCATCTTTAGTGTTGACATGGAAGAGGGCTTCTTGACAACTGTTTTCAGTCTTTGTAATTATGTCATGAGGAAGGCTGGGGCAGTTCTCTCCTTACTGTCCTTTTGTTATCAAGTGAAAATTTTCATACCATTTGATTCAAATGGTATGAATTATATGGGCAATTTAATTCAACAATAAATATATGACTTAATTCATGTATTTGTTTTAATTTTTAACTTCCTTTGAGTCCTAGTATCGGGAAAAAGACAACAAATGAATAAATACAACAACTGATGTTAGTCACATTTACCTTCATGAAAGATGGATACAAATGTTAGTAGCCTAAATATAAATATGTAAAGCTGCTTGTTTTATTTAAAGAATTCAAAATTACAAATATATTGAACAGCTTAATAGTGTTTATACCCTACCCTCAAAAAGACTAGTCAGAGGCAAAAATGTGAAATTTTTAAAAATCTGGCTCCAGGGTGTTTGCTTTTTAAGATGAAATAGTACTCAAAAGGATATAAGATAAACTTATGTATCAGAAAGGATTGGTGTAACAGCTGTAAAATTGAATATCAAAACAAAAAGGCAACTAGCCCAGTGGCCAGTATCCAGTGCTATTACTACAAGTGTGTAAACAGGTTCCATAACTCAACTGGGAGGGACTCAATCCCCTTAGTCCTGCCATTCCCCTCCAGTCTAAAAAACCAACTAGGAAGGGCTGAGAAACTCATCAACAAAAGATGCAGGGAAGGAATAAAAACCCCTGAGGGAAACAATATAGTTGTTGGTGTTAAATATATTCTCCAAAATATACTGTGTTTTATTTTAACTGGTTTTGAGAAGAAGAAGATGGGAACAGGAAAACATGCCCAGACCATGCAGCCACAAAAAACAAGCCAAAAACAGAATACAAAGCAAACCAGAAATAAGCATGCTGTTTACAGCCACTACCAAGAAAACAGAAGCTATGGACTGGTCAAAACCGTAATGACATCCTATGATCATATGGCTTAAGTCCCACTGATTTCAACACAACACCAAGTAAATGCAATTCATATCATGACCTTAGATCAGGCATGGGCAAACTTGGGCCCTCCAGGTGTTTTGGACCAACTCCTACAATTCCTAACAGCCTCACCCCCCCCCCAGCTGCTTATGCGAAAAAGGGGAAAGGAGGGGGTCTGGGGCTGTTAGGAATTGTGGGAATTGAAGTCCAAAACATCTGGAGGGCCCAAGTTTGGCCATGATTGCCTTAGATAATAAAAAAAACCCTTAACTGTTTACACATTGACCTTTTCTCTTTAGCCAATTGTCACTATTTACCATCATGGCATGAAAACACGGCATGCAATTGTATGACATGTCAGTTTATATTGATTGTTATTTCCTGCTAGCCATCCCCTGCCATGCATTGCTGTGGCCCAGTCTGTGTATATGTGTTTTGTGTGTGCATATGTGTGTGTATATGTTTGTGTATATGTGTGTTTGCGTATATATATGTGGGTGTGCGCATGCGTTGTAATGTAATTTTTGGTTTTTGTCTTTTTAAGTCTCTTCTGCTGTGTTTATCAGTGTTTTTATGAGTGATGGTCACTCGTTGGCCTGAGAGGTGTCTTGTGTCCAAATTTGGTGTCAATTCGTCCAGTAGTTTTTGAGTTATGTTAACCCCACAAACGAACATTACATGTTTATTTATATAGATATGCTACAATATTAAAAAGGCAAACAAGATTGTTTTTCGGACCTACAACAATACATTTTAGAATGTATTGTTGTATAGTTTAGCAAGTTAAGTAGTAGGATGCTTTGTAAATTTTAGTATATTGTGTTAAAAACAAAACCAGCAAAATATCATACATTATTTAAGAATTGGTACGCAATTTCATGTTGATCATGCTCCTGTTCTATTCAGATGGCTTTATTTATTTCTTATGTTAACACCCTATGTGTTTGTATGTCCTACTTAGTTTATTATTTCAGTAACTACAGAAGGAACATATTTCTAGAAGATTTATTTATTTAAACAAACTGTTAATCACTTGTAAAGCAAACAAAAATTTGAAGTATCTCAGCTATGTCACAACTTCGAGGTTGTATTTTTTTCTTTTGTTCATGAAAGGTATTTTAGTGACCACTGCCCAATTTCTTACTTGGTTTATTCTGCCAGTCAAAGTAGCTAAAGTACTTATCACAAACTAAGAAGCTCAATGTTACTTTTGAACTGGGACTTCTAGTTTCTGAGATCTCTAAGAGGGCAGAAACTGATTTGTTGCTAGCTTCCTGTTCTTGGTCTATTTAGAAATCTTAAATGACAGCTTTGCTTCAATGCCAAGAATTATTAATTCTCCTGAAATCACCAGCACAAGCAATGTGTTTGCTGCTAAAGAGAGCCAAAGTAAATCTCTTCTTCACACGTGAATTACTTTGTTCTTCTGTCTCCTATTTCCCTTACATTTTTCCGCTATATTAAAGATTCCTCAAACATTTCTCCTGTGTAACTTAGATAACAAAATATTTTGACTTTACCTCAAAACGTAAAGCATGTGCTAGGCTATTATTTCTTGGGGGGGGGGGGAGTATGAAGACCCCATTGCGAAGAACCCAAAATAATAGCTGTAAGTTATTGAGCCCCCCACCCCCACCTCCCTATAGCTGGAGTGGCAAAGTACTGCCAGTGACTAGATTCTTGTGGGCTTTTTCGGGCTATAGGGCCATGTTCTAGAGGCATTTCTCCTGACGTTTCGCCTGCATCTATGGCAAGCATCCTCAGAGGTAGTGAGGTCTGTTGGAATTAGGACAATGGGTTTATATATCTGTGGAATGGCTGGGGTGGGGCAAAGATCTCTTCTCTGCTGGAGCTAGGTGTGAATGTTTCAACTGACCACCTTCATTAGCAAATGAAGGCCTGGCTGAGCCTGGGAAATTCCTTTGTTGAGAGTTGTTAAGATGTGCCTGGTTGTTTCCTTTCTGCTGTTTTGCTGTTGTAATTTTAGAGTTTTTTAATACTGGTAGCCAGTGAGCTAAATAAAAGGAGCAGCACT